AATGGACTGAAAGTTGCCCAGGGCATATGTGGGCAGGGTGGAAGGCCTGAGTGGGGCATCACCCTGGGGAGCAACCCAAAGCCATGGCGGGGAAGGCAGGAAATGGAAAGAACATATAGAAAGGGCAGGAGAGGGCGCCTGGGTGGCTCAGATGGTTAAGCGTCTGCCTTCGGCTAAGGTCATGATCTCAGGGTCCTGGGATCGAGTCCCACATCGGGCTCCCTGCTCCTTGGGAGCCTGCTTCTCCCTCTGCCTCTCTCCCTCTCTCTCTCTGTCTCTCATGAATAAATAAAAAAAAAAAAAAGAAAGGGCAGGAGAGTTACGAGAGCATTGATTGTCATCATGGTTTGCCTACCTCACGGGTTTTCTGAGTACTTCCCAGAAACAGGTGCTAGAAAAGGAGAACGGCCAAGGACCTCCCAGCCCCTCCAGGGCCAGCTCCCCGCCCGTACCCTCATCCTGCCTGGGAAAGCTGCAGAGACGCAGACAAGAGGGAAGGGGTGTGCAGGAAGTCTGGGAAGGTGAGTGTAGACGATCTGTCAGCCAGGAAGCACTACACTATGGTCCTCAGGAAGTCCCACACAGACTCAGAGAAATGTATTTTCAAATTCCAGCTCTGACTCCCCTTGTTTCTGTAAGATCTCGGGCATTATTACTCGGTCTCTCTAAGTTGCAGTTTCCTTGGCCCAAGATGGACCCGGTTAGAGTACGTACTCACAGGGTTGCCGTGAGAATAAAAGCGAGGTGGTACGTGTGAAGGGCTTGCTGTGGTGCCGGGCATGACGAAAGCACTTCACTCCCGCTCGCCACAGACACCCCCCATCTGCTGTCCCCGGGGTTGCGTTGACACTAAGGACACAGTGGGAAACAGAGCTGACGTGGCTCCCGTCCTCACGCGGCTTCCATCCTGGATTGAAAGGTAGATATTTAAGGAAAGAAACACACCCCTGAAGCCTCTCATTAGAAACTAAATAAATGATTTAGTTTAGAAGAAAAAAATTATTTCTGAAAGAGAAGACTGGGGAAATGGATTTAGTTTGGTGGGGATGGGAAGGGAGGCGCTGCATTCTGAGGAAACGACAGTGGGTTGAGACCTGAAAGTCAGGTTGGAAACAGCCCGATGGAGGGCAGGGGTGTGGGGCGGGGAAGAGGGCCCCAGGTAGAGGGATAGGCCTGAAGGCCACAAGAGCTGGGTGCCTTAGAGGAACCCAGTGGATCCTGAGTGTCATGGGAGTGGAGGGAGCAAGCCGGACAGGCCACAGGTGAGGCTGGGGACCTGGGCAGATGCCAGAGCTTATAGGGAGTCAGGGGATCTCTGGGGATGCCTGTCCTGCTGAGGGGGTCCCAGGGGAGAGGCCGGGGTAGGAGGGGTAGAAGCACCAGGAAAGAAGAGTGACAGGGCCAAGATGGGGAGGGGGAATTCAGAGAGAAGGATGAGGTCTAAACAGGACCCAAGGATTTGACAGCGAGAAGTCCTCTGGGGCCTCTGTGCCGGTCAGAGGGAAAGCTAGCTCGCACGGGGTCAAGAAGCAGCGTGTGGGGAGGAAGTAAAGGAAGAGGAGGAAGTTAGCATGTATTCTTTCCAGAAGCATTATGATGAAGGAGAAGAGAAAATGGGGGTGATAGCTAAAAGGAGAATGGCTTTGTTTATTTTTCTTTTAGATGGGGGCATTTTTGAGCATTTTTCTCAGCCTAGGAGAGGGATCCAGTGGACAGACCTCCAACATAGGAAGAGAAAGGAGGACTAAATCAGTTTTCAGGAGGCCTCATTCCCGTGGCTGTCTTGCCTGCGATCAGAAAGTGGTAGACTCTGGTGTCTTGATAGGGCCACAGACCTAAAACAGTGCAATTTTCAATTAGAGATAGGATTAGCCAAAAACTCTGTACAAAGCATTTGCATGTTTTTTTTTAAATTAAAACTATATATTAAAATAGTCATATTTTTTAAATCTAGATTTTAAGGCAATAGGCATTTAAAGTAAAATATCAAGAAATTCATATCTAGACACAATTAAGAATTTATTCCAATAACACTTTAGTGCAATTCATGGTCCCCTTAATGTAATCCTGGTTTTTTGGTTTTTAATTTGACAGAATCCTTTCTTTGCATTTACCTTGGATCACTTCCTTGGGTCAGAACCCTCCTAGGGCAGCCCCAGATTTTAGGTCAGTTTGGCACCAACAGCTCTTTTCAATATTTTAAGTCTTAATTTCCCAGTTGCTCAGAATTTCTCTTCCTGCCTAAACGGGAGATGGAAAGAGAATGGCCCTGTTGGATTGACGGACCCAAGGAACAAAAGAGTTTCACTTTACCTTCCCAGGTTCTTATCAGCTAGGAAGGATCCGCATTCTCTGTCTCACCTCCTCCCTTTCTCAGGCAGCAGAAGAAAAAAGACAAATTACTGATTTTAATTTATATCGAAAATAAACATGCACATAGTTGAAAGAATCAAATAGTTCTATATTAATAACTGGCAGTTCCCCACTCCACCCTTTCACCACATCCTGGGGATTCCCTTCATCTCTTATGTCAAATATTCTGGTTCCTAAATTCTGCCTCTTCCTCTTTCTTGATTCACTCCGTTGTTTTGGTGGAGTGCATCCTCCAGTCATTTCCTAAGAAAGAAAGCAGGCAAGATAGAACACGCCATGAGTGTCCCGCCCATATTCTCCTGGCCCCTGCCCCATCCGCGCAGTCTAAATTACCAGTACAGGGACGCCTGGGTGGCTCAATCCATTGAGCACCTTCCTTCGGTGCTCAGGGCCCTGGGATCGAGCCCTGCGTCCGGGCTCTCTGCTCAGCAGGGACCCTGCTTCTCCCTCTCCCTCTGCCTGCCGCTCCCCCACTTGTACTCTCTCTCTCTCAAACAAATAAATAAACAAACAAACAAAATCTTTTTAAAAAATTACCAGTACAAATGTCTCTTTGCCTGAGGGCTTCTTCTGGATACCAAAGGTTTGCTCATGAAGAGTTGGGGGTAATTAACCCCCTCCTCCTAGGGAGCAGCTCTTAACCAATGAGCAATGAGAGTTAGCAGAATAAATAGCTCAGCTCGCTCAGCCCTGAGTGGGGATAACTTTGAGCCATGATTTCCACACTGGTCTCGCAGAGTCTCCCCAAGGAATCAAGTTCCAGTTATTCATAGTAACTTGCTGGATACAGTAGCTTCCTGGTTTCACTTCCCCACACGCTATAGGTGGATCATCTCCCAAATAAACTGCTTTTGCCCTTATATCTTCTATTTTCCATGTCTTATCTTTTTGCTGTACTTTCTAGTTTCCATCTCTTCTGGTGAGTTTTTTTTTGTTCTGGGATCATATTTAAATTTCTCAGATCTTTTTTTGTTCTCTAACTGTTCCTTTTAAAAAATAGCATTTAATCCATTCATCTGTCAATGGACATCTGGGCTCTTTCCATATTTTGGCTATTGTGGACGTTGCTGCTATAAACATTGGGGTGCATGTGCCCCCTTCGAATCACTATTCTTGTATCCTTTGGATAAAGAAGATGTGATATATATTAGATGTGAGATACACACACACACACACATACACACACGATGGAATATTACTCAGCCATCAAAAAGAAGAAAATCTTGCCATTTCCAATGACGTGGATGGAAATAGAGGGCATCACGCTAAGTGAAATAGGTCCGTCAGAGAAAGACAAATACCATATGTTTACTCATATGTGGAATTTAAGAAACAAAACAGAGGAAAAGAGGGAAGGGAAGGAAAAATAAAATGATAAAAACAGAGAGGGAAACAAACCATAAAAAACTCTTTTTTTTTTTAAGATTTTATTTATTTATTTGAGAGAGAGAATGAGAGAGAGAGCACATGAGAGGGGGGAGGGTCAGAGGGAGAAGCAGACTCCCCGCCGAGCAGGGAGCCCGATGCAGGACTCGATCCCGGGACTCCAGGATCACGACCTGAGCCGAAGGCAGTCGCTCAACCGACTGAGCCACCCAGGCGACCAAACCATAAGAAACTCTTAACTCTAGGAAACAAACTGAGGGTTGCTGGAGGGGAGGTGCGTGGGGAAATGTGGTAACCGGGTGATGGACATTAAGGAGGGCACTTAATGGAATGAGCCCTGGGTGTTCTATGCAACTGATGAATCACTAAGTTCTAGCCCTGAAACTAATAATATACTATATGTTAACTAACTTGAATTTAAATAAAAAAATTTTCAAAATAAAAAAATAAAATTTAAGCAAATAAAATTAAATTCAAAATGGCATATAAAAATACATATAAATATAAAAAATATTTTAAAAAATAGACTATCCTGTCTTATCTCTCTGAGGATATTGATAATTTTTTGCTTTCTTTTTCTGTCAGAGATGCTGCCACTTCCAAATGATCTTTAGGGAATTTCTCTCCAGGGTGTCGTGTTCTCAGAAAATCTCCAGGCTGGATGTTAGGGTTACAATCTATGTAAAGGAAGAAGGCAGGGGCTCTGTAAGTAATTTCCTTTTTTCTTCAGTATATTATCCTTCTCACAACTGTGCCTGGTCCTCGCTCTGTCTTACTGTCCCAAAGAATGGAAAAAGCTCCCTTTTTTGGCCACTGTGGGGAAGGGGCAGTCCACTTGACGGATGCAAGTGGAAAGGGGGGGGCGGGGCTGGGGACCTCTTTGCTCCTTGAATTGACTTTCAACTCATCTTACTCCTCTTAGCCACAGCTTTATTCACAAAATATCAAAGTACCTGGTGCCACAAACTGCTGAGCACGTGGAGGATTCTGAAGTGTAAAGCAAGTGACATTAGCTTTCTCATCCGCTGGCTTAGAATTCACCTTACTTGGGTCTCTTGGTTCAGTTACCACACATTCATCTACACTCCATCTTTTAAAATTAGCCTGCTGCTATCCTTTTCATATTCTCTTTGTCCTTGTAGGTTTAGACTTAAAAAAAAATTATTTAAATTCTTGTTTGCTTACTTATGCATAAAGAAATTCTGGAAAGGGGTGCCTGGGTGGCTCAGTTGGTTAGGCGTCTGCCTTCTGCTCAGGTCATGATTCCAGGTTCTGGGATCGAGCACCACATCGGGCTCCCTGCTCAACGGGAAGCCTGCTTCTCCTTCTCCCTCTGCCGCTCCCCCTGCTTGTGTTCTCTCTGTCAAATAAGTAAATAAAATCTAAAAAAAAAAAAGAAAAGAAAAGAAATTCTGGAGACTGGGGCACCTGGGTGGCTCAGTCGGTTAAGCGTCTGCCTTCAGCTCAGCTCACGATCCCAGGGTCACAGGACAAGTCCTGGGTGTTAACATCGAGCCCCGCGTTGGGCTCCTTGCTCAGCAGTGGGAAGCCTGCTTCTCCCTCTCCCACTCCCAAAATCTTTATTTTTTTTTAAGATTTCATTTATTTATTTGACAGAGAGAGAGAGACACAGCAAGAGAGAGAACACAAGCAGGGGGAGTGGAAGAGGGAGAAGCAGGCTTCCCACGGAGCAGGGACCCTGATGTGAGACTTGAGCCCAGGACCCCGAGATCATGACCTGAGCCGAAGGCAGACGCTTAACGACTAAGCCACCCAGGCGTCCCATAAATAAAATCTTTGAAAAGAAATTCTGGAGACACACACATAACAAATTAGTAACTAAGCTTACAATGGACAGGAAGACAGTGGGACCCAGGCCAATGGGAGACATGGATGAGGGAAACTTTTTTGCTCTGTGCCTTTTTACCCTTTTTTGGTTTTAGAACCATGTGAATATATTACTTCATCAAACCTTAGCTTTGGGTTAAGTTCTAGGAGGGAATGGAGCACAATATGTGTCTAATCTGTTCTCTTTGACCAGAAGTCTCAAATGTTGTTTTTCTAAATTAGCATCTTCAGGGTTGAGACCATGCAAAGCTTCCCACCAAAGGCCATTCTAAGCAAATTCAGAAGCTATACACAAAAATATGGACAAATTTGACTCTGTGAAAATTAAAGATTTCTGCAAGGCCCAAAACAAAATCAAATGAAATAATGTCAGAAGACCAAAAACAAATCAGGAAAAAAATCTTTTCAACAAATATGAAAAAGGTACAGTTTTCTTAAAATCTGGAGTTCTTACAAAAGAATTAAAAACAGATCAAAATCCAATTGAGAACAATAGACAAAGTAAATATATAGAATACACAGGTATTGACAAATAGCTTTTAAGTATATGAAAAAGGCTCCACCCCACTCATGGTTTAATGAATTAACATTAAAACAAGAAACCAGGGGGCGCCTGGGTGGCTCAGTCGGTTAAGCATCTGCCTTCCATTCAGGTCATGATCCTAGGGTCCTGGGATCCAGTCCCACATGGGGCTCCCTGCTCAGCAGAGATCCTGCTTCTCCCTCCCCCTCTGCTGCTCCCCCTGCTGTGCTCTCTCACGTTCTCTCTGTTAAATAAAATCTTAAAACGAGAAACCATTTTTCACCTACCAGAATGGTAACATTATAAAAATCTCATAATACACATTGATGAAGTGAGGATATGGAAAACAGGGAGACTAAGACATTTTTAGTAGGATTAGAAGTTGGTGCAGCCTCTTTGTAGTACAGTTGGGTACAATATGTCCAAAGTTTAAAAGTTATACCCTTTGGGCCAGCAACTTCACTATCAGAAATTTGTCCTATGAATATGCTTGCACTGGGCATTAAGACATATCGAAGGCATATTTACAGGGATATTCATTACAGTCTTATTCGTAGTCGTAAAAACCATAAGCAATCCAAATGTTCACAGTAGAAGACTGGCTACATAGATTATAGAATCTTCATTCAGTGGAATACTAAGCAGCCATTCAAAAGAATGAGGCACCTTTATATTTATGGAAACGTCTCCAACATACATTGAGTTTAAAAGCAGAATAAGGAACTATGTGCATAGAATGACCCCACTGGTCTGCGTGATGGTTTTTAGAAAGTATTTTTTTTTAAGATTTTATTTATTTATTTGAGAGAGAGAGAGAGACAGCATGAGAAGGGAGGAGAGGGAGAAGCAGACTCCCTGACGAGCAGGGAGCCCGTCACAGGACTCAATCCCAGGACCCTGGGATCATGACCTGAGCTGAAGGCAGATGCTTAACTGACTGAGCCACCCAGGCGCCCCATAAAGTATTTTTTCTTAGAGACATGGATAGGTTTACATACACAGGGAATATCTCTGGAGGAATATGTAAGAAACTAGCAACTGTGGCTACCTCTCGAGAAGGAAAGTGGTACAGTAAGAGGCTGAGAAAGGGAAGGAGATGTTGTTGTTTCTGTCTTAAATGTTTTCAACTTTCAAACTTTTTCAACCAAGTGCATGTTTTAGAAAGATAATGGATGCATTGGTCAGGGTTTTGGGTTGCAAGCAACAGAAACAAACTCTGATTAATTTAAGCAGAAGATGAATTTATGAAGGGATATTGGGTGGTTCACAGGCGCTGCAGGAGGGCTGGAGACCCAGGTGCAGAGGCGAGCCAGAAACGACTTCTGGAGTTAATGCTGCAGAACAACGGCGTGAAGACACTGCATGGGTGATGCTGCTGGGACAGGGGACACCCCAAGTCCGGATGCCCATCCCTGCTGCTAGAACCTCCAGCACTGAAAACTACCAACTTCATCTATATTCAGGGCCGCTTCAAAGCATGAAGAGACCTCCAAAATCATCTAGTCCAACCTCATTTGTAAGTCAAGAATGATTTCCCTGGATTGGGGG